AAGTTAATCCGGCACACGGAGGTAGGCTTCAGCTGACCCCTTAATTATTTTGTACACTAGTTCAGCAAAATGGACACCACCTTAAAGGCCTTGAGTCGGTTTCACAAAAAAACTTACGACTAAGATTGATCGTAAGTCATGGACAATTCAGTATACTTAAGTTTTTTTTGTGAAATCGACTCCTGAACTCCAATACATACAAATGAACCAAAATTATCAACAACAAAAACAAAACACACAAGACAAACAAAGGTTAAATCTTGAGGTTCCTGACTTGGTATAAGTGCAATAATGGCTGGGGTAAAACATATTGTGTGAGAACTCAACCCTCGGCTCCCCTAGTTTCTCTAGACAATGTAGAATAAATAAACACACAGTAAAACTCAGTTTTAAAGAAGTGCATTTTGTGGAAGTTTGAAATTTTTATCTTGTGTTTCTGTTATGTGTTTATAGCAATTATACGTGTTCTGTAGGTATAATAAACGAACAAAAAATGATTGTGTTCAAAAATAACTGTAAATCAGTTTGGTTACTCAGTGACTTTGATTTTGTCATGTTAATTGCTGGAAACTTCATTTTTCTAGTGTCCTTGCATCGTCATTGACTGTAGTCCTTTTTGTGTATTTTTTCATTAGCTACTTTTACAATATTTGAATTGCATAAAGTCACAGTTAAACACAGACGATGTGATTGAAGATTTCTCTTAATGTGTTGCTCATTTTTTTTAGCAAGCTCTATCAATATCCACGTTTAATTTCAGATATATAAGCTTTTTAAATTTAGGAACATATACTTGTTCACTGAATTAGCATTAAAAATGGGGCAAAAGATACCAGAGGGACAGTCAAACTCATAGTTCGAAAATTAAATGTAGATCTGATATTGTTTAAGGCAATTTCAAGAGCAGCTTTGTCAATACGATTATAAGTTTACCTCAAGAGCTTGAATTTAAATAGTAATTGTACCAAAGTGGTCCAATTTTGGATGTTGAAAATGAGATAAGCACTGTTGAATGAATTGATGGGATCACTTCCTGGAGGAAGTATTAATAGTAACAGCACCTTATGTGTGTAACCAGTAAGGTAAAACCTGTACGTGGTGGTCTGAAACATCAACCAAATGATAATGAAAAAGAACTAACATGGGTTGTCTGCTGTATGAAAATATTATGGCCAAACATATATATATATATATATAAAGAAAAGCATTACAAAGTTCCTTCTTTAAGATATCTCATTGAATTAATTTAATAAAAGGTAATCAGCTTTAGCCTAAGAACTGTAAATAAGTGGACGACTTATGGCCAGAGTTAGCGTTTAGATAGTCATGTCTAATTTGAAATTATGTGTGTTATTTTTTGTTAGTCGTTTGGGTTGCTTTCTCATTGACTTTAAAAACCTCAAATCTCTCTTTATTCATGATTATACTCTATTATAGAAATATCAATGTTAAAGACGCCGTTTTCTGCTTTCGGAATGTGCTGACCTGTATTCAACTCATTTGAACGAAACTACAAAAATATTTAAAAAAAAAACACCTCATGCCTAAAGAATATAAATGTTTAGCTTTTAAGGTCCACTAAACTCTATCAGTGATTTCTTAAGTATGTTTGATCGCTTGCCAGTGAAACCATAATTTATTGTAAAATCTCCCCACTTTAAAAACATAAGAAGATGTTGTATGATTGCAAATTAGAAAACTTTCCACAAGAGATAACAATGATGTGGGTGTGGATGTTAACAAATATAATAGCTCATCGTTAAAATATAAAACTGTTAAGACAATAAATGGAAAAACAAATACGACAGACAGCAATCAATAACCACCAAATAATAAAGGGCCACTTTCTTGTGATAATCATATTAATAGTGTTCAGCGTTAACCATGTTTGCGAGCACTCAACCCTTTCATAATCAGGAACAGTTTTGAAATAGCATACAACATAAGAACAAATTGTAAAACTCAGTTTTTTTTCTGTTAAAGACCGATGGAATTTTTTACTAAAGAAAAAAGAATGTCATGTGGCTCCTTGTTATCCAATAAGAGAAGCTAATTCTTAACCGATATGAAATAAAACCAATTAACAAAAAGACACTGCGTTCTAAAAGCTAATTACAGTTGATGAATAAATACTGTTGGCACCGACTTAAATATAAATCAGGACACACCCGATTAGCAACCAAAGTGAAAAGTGGATTCAGTGTTACAGCCAAAGCTTTATTTATATGGTGAGCGAGTACTGAGATCGTCGCTTATTACATGAGTAGCTATTTGCTTCGAGGAGCTTGAAATTTTCATTTGTGAACAAATATTTAACATACAATCATTTAACACTCATCATTCTTATTTTTTTACGAAAAACATTGTTGGATTCTAAATCTTAACATGTTTGTTCTAGAAGGAAAATGAAAATAAAAATATTGTTTTCTTTATAGAGTTGTGGGAAAAAAATACATTAAAGACTTTGAATTTCAAAAATTAAGACTTGCAATAACATTTTTTTTTATAAAGGACAAAACATGTGTTTCGAGAACCTCTCCCCAACAAAAAATTAACTGTCAGTGCCTTTAACACACGGACAGAATTCTTTCAAATACCGAGTAGGATTGTGACTAAGTTGGTTAATCTAATTCAGTAAAGTTTCCCATTTATAGGTTACATACCAACACTATGGTGGAGAATTAGATTCATGGATTGTAAAATAGCAGAACACAATCGTGGTCTATATCTTTATTCAAATATACAAATTTTGAGACAAGAAAGTGATGCATATGTAATATTATTCTTTTAAATTGAGATAATTATGTATTGTATTGTATTATTTCAACTGTTTTAAAAAATACTGATAATTTTTTGAATAAATTAATTTTTTTCAACTGTAGCAAATAAGGGGAAGCAACTAATATAACCTTACTTTTACTACAAAAAATTTTGATTAATTACACCACTTTCCGCAAAATATATTTTTGTATTATTTTAGTATGTTGTTCATAGATAGTAACAGACTTGTTTTTCAGAGAAAAACTTTGTGTTGCAATTAGTTGCAGGTTGTTCACTATATTGACTAGACTAGAAAAGGAGACAGGATTGTAGTTGCGACAATTGGAACATATCCGCTATATTCTGCGAAACAGATATTCCATAACGGTCACCCTACTCGTGATGGCGTCCGTAACATTTACGAAGTGATGATTTCAACTTCACCACTTGAAACCCTTGGTTTAATAGCTTCCTTATCAGCAGCAACTCTCTATCAAAGAAATCACGATAGGAAATACAAGCCGTGGAATATAGTATCAACTGGGAGATATAATATACTCCGTATGTAGGCGCTGCTGGCATGTTGCTACATAAAAATGGAACGTTCACAATTGTGAAGCTGAAATCATCTCTTTTGTCGTAAAGTTTTGTTTTCAAACGACCCTCATTTTCAATTTCTAGTCAAGATATGAGGCAAACTTAACTGTATCTGTTGTATCCTTTATTTCAAGTTCGATGGGATAGATGCGTTCAACATAGTCACTAAATTTTGAATTATTTAGTGAGAGAACATCATCTATGTAACAAAACGTAAAGTTAAAGGATACTGCTAACTTCTTTTCTTTCTTCCTAAGAAGTTCCTGTATGAAGACATCATCATTGAATAAAGGAACAAGTCGGTCAGAAGAGGACCACAGTTGGTTCCCATGGAAATACCGATTGTTTGTTCAAAAACACGTCCTCCAAACGTAACAAATATGTTGTCAATCAAGAAATTAAACATCTTGATAATGTCAGTTTCAGAAAATTTTTTGTTTGAATCAGAGTGATTTTTTACAAAGTACGATTTGTCCTTCCCTAAGACAAGATACTTGTATCTACGTTGGCCGTTCTTTTTTTATGAAACAAAGCAGGACCAAATCTTTCAATTTGTCTTTTAGTTTGGAATTGGGAATTCTTGTGTAAAGTGTAAAAAAGTCAAATGTTTAATAATTAATTAATAAACTCATAACACATAAAATGTGCAAAGACTCCATTAACAAACGTACAAAAGCATGACCTTGCTCATGATCAAATAAAGTGTAGACAGAATGAGGGACCATAATCGTTCATGACTTGAAATCAGTGCATATTTAGCAATCAATGAGCTGGAATCAATCAAAATAAAATTAGTACCTATGGAGACAATAAGCAAAGACTCAAATACAGTTTTATATTGATGATAGTAAATGTATGTAAAATACCGATATTTACACTGATCGTATCCTACTATTAAGAACCGAGGATGTGACTCCTACAGGTAAAGTTCAACTTTCAAATAAAACAGTTGTATCTATGAACGTATCTAGTAAAGGGTTTATAAGTATTAATGAATTCCCTGACTTTATAATTTGCTAGTTACATACAGAATACGTTCTTAAAAATTTTAAACTTTACAACAGGTTTAGATTTATCGAAAGAGTAGGAAAGCTTCACACTCTACGAAATGGTCAAATGGACATTACCCATAAAAAGAGAAAATTTACAATTATAGCGGTATTAATTTTTCTTTTATTTGTCTCCTAACTTTTGTAAGATATTTCCCTTGTGGAACGTAAGTAGAAAAATCTCAAAAAAGACAATATATTAACGTCATACTAATGCCTTGTCTGGGAACTTTGTTCATTTAGTTAATAAATCTTGTCGGTATACTTAACAACAGAAAACCAGGCCTTTCATAGCCGACTATACGGTATGGGTTTTTCTCGTTGTTGAAGGCCGTACGGTTGCCTATAATTGCTTACATCCACTTTATTTGAACTTTTGTGGATAGTTGTCTCATTGGCAATCATACCTCATCTACTTATTTTTATAATGCTCATTATTAAACTAATATATTTTGTGTCGATACTTTAAAAATGAGTACCCACGACAACCAATAAGTGCTTTAACAGATCGTTTTACAACTGCGTTTCTGAAAAAAGTACTTTCAGTAAATTAATTCATACGAAATTAAACTAAACTACCAAAAAAGTACTTACTTTGGTAAGTTTACCTCCTAATTCCGTTTGAATCAAAATTATCGTATATTCTAAATAAAGAATGCTTACTTCGCCCCGAATGTAATGACATGAAAATTTAAACGTTTATATATATATAGGCTATAGTAAATAACAGTTACACTAATCATCTTAATCTGATTTTCAAAATTTGTGATGTGCTGTTTAAAAAATAATCATCGCGATCTTCGTGAGCGATTAATAATAAGTACGACTTATTTATAGAATCGTTTTTTAAATGTCATTTCAGTAACGAACAAGAACAAGGAATAACAAATATGTTCATTTCCGAAATCCCATATATTTTTTAATATTTCTTGATGTTTCCTCTTTTGTGAGTAGTCACTAAATGTCATTTATTTGGACAATTAACAATGAAACCCTAAGACATTTTCCTCTACAAGCATGTTTGATATATATGTTTTGTTTTGTTTACATAATTTTATAATACTTTTGACTATGGCCAAATATATTAAATTAGTACATGTTGAAAAACTTAAACCAACATTATTTTTTACCAGTATTTCATTCTTGACTGCGAAAAGCTTGAACAGAGTAGAAATTAATATTTTGCCATGGCTGAAGGGTACGTATACTGTTTAATATTGTTTGAATTGAATTATTCAATTAAGTGAAATGCATTATACCGGGCATATGTGTATTCTTATCTCCATCAAATTAGTACATACTATAAGCAACACAGTGCTAAAGTTGTGTCACGAAAAGGTAGCAGTTCCGCTCAATACTATTTGCAATATCTCTTTACGAGAAGGAAAATATCCAAACTAGCTTGAAGATAGCTAATTTAATGCCTATTCTCAAAAAAGAAAATTCACCCATGCCTTCAAATTAGTAATCAATTTTTCGTATTAGTTGTGATGGGAAAGTAATGGAAAGAGTTGTTTTAAACACTTATACAACCATCAATACGCTAACAAATTAATTTTTTTTGAATATCAATCCGGATTTCTTCCTAAAAACATCAACTGTCAATAAATTTTTAGAAATATACAACTGCATCCTAAACTCTTTGGAAAACAAAAGAAATACATTGTTTTGTATTCTGTGACTTTTCTAAAGCGTTTGACAAAATTTGGCATAGAGGTCTAATTTACAAACTGAAAGCCTATGGTATTGATGGAACCTTATAACAGATTATCTGCATGATAGAAAACAAAGAGTAATACCGCTTAATTCGTCCTCTTCCTTTTGTAATGAGTCAGCAGATGTATCACAGGGATCTGTTTTGGTTTTATATATCAATGATATTGTTGATAAGCTCACATCGCTGAGTACGCTTTTTGCAAATGACTCTTCATTCATTTATTCTGGTAACGATAGAGAACAGATTAAATCTGTGATCGATCATGACATGAAAGAGCCGGATGATTGGTCAACTATTAAATGGCGAGTGTCATTTTATTCTGATAAAACAAAAAATACGATAGTATAAAATATTGAGATACCAGTTCTCAACTTGTCCTTAAATGATAACCATATCCCTATAAGTACATTCCATTAGCACCTAGGAGTTACCTTTAGTAGTTACGCAAAATGGAACTATCTCATTCAAAGTATAATTACAAGTGTAAGTAATTACATCACATGTATGTTTCAAGAGAATCCGTTAGTTTGATTGGCTAACAAAAATCGCGCGTCATTCAAAAATTAACTTTCATATCAAAATGAAATGTAACTTTCGTATTGACATGTGCTTCCACAAAAAAGTGCACAGGAAAATAAAAGAAAAAACTTGATCATGGTCTTACAATAAAAATGTAATTGTAAGAAATGAATGCTTCTTTTAGTAATTTGATAGGGTTGTAAAAGTGTTGATCGTGCACACATTTTTAGAATGAAGCGCTTCCGCGCTTCATACAAAATGTGCTTCGGTCAACACTTTTACACCCAAATAAAATTACAAAAAGAAGCATTCATTTCTTAAATAAACACCTTAATGTTCTGCGTAAACTCAAAGATCGATTGTCTCGAAATAATTTAGAAAAACTCGTAAGAATTGTAACAGGTCTATCAATTCTTACTAAAACGGATATGCTGTATTCTGAGGTTGGCTGGGAATCTTTATATAAAAGACGAAGAAAAAGAAATTTACAGATGTTCTATAATATGAATAAAAAAAAAAACACACGCACTTGAGCTGAGAACCTGTGTTATTTCCCCCAACCAACTATTCGTTGCAAAACGGTCAAAATATCATTGTTCAATTTTGTAGACTTTCCATTACTACTGAATGTTTTGTTCCGTCCACAATACGAGAATGAAATAAGCTTGATTTAAAATTTCGCAACATCGACTTTTTATCTAAATTTAAGCTAATTTGAAAGAATTGAAAAATGATAGTGTCCAGAGTAGAGTTGCAACGTACGTACTTTCGGTGCGGTCCGAGGAAACTGAATATTATTTTAACTCAGTTGCAATGTTCCGCTTCATTTCTAAACTATGAACTTTTCAAAGGTAAAGTTATACTGGATCCTTCCTGTTAGTGTGGGTCTTATATTGAGGATGTCCATCATGTCTTTTTCGTTTGCCCAAAATACACTAAATGTAGAAACATATTACTCAACAATCTTTCTTGGCTTACCAACAACTTTTGTTTTAGATACTGAACTGTTAACTTGTGGAGACGTTGAAATTTCTCCTAAATACATGTTTTATTTACATGTGTAGCTTTATAGATAAATATATAAGATAAACCATCATGAGATAAGGTTAATGTAGCTACTTGTGATCTTTTGAAACATTGAGAGAGCCCCTAAACAAAGATTACCTGTTATCCTAGACATAGATGTAAGGTCTCAGCTTCGATGATTTTGACAATGTCTATTCGGTTATTCGCCATTCACAATTATACCACTGTATGTTGATTTTGTTGTTTATTTTAACATGGTCGACTTTTTTTGCACACTCTCTTCAACACAGTTGTTTTACAGTCAAGAAAAGGGGATTGCTACAACGTCTTACATGTAGAGAAGTTTTGTTTTTCCATTCATATAATCAAATTCAAAAGTAAACGGCACTTCTCAAAATGCTATGATAATCATATTCTATGATTAATATTTTAATAATTACACGAACTTCAAAATTTAATTTAGTCTTTAACTATATACAATTTGAAACAATTTTGAAAAATATAGTTATTTTGTATAATAATCCATCTTACCACACCAAATGAAAATGAAACGGTTTACCAGATAGATACGGTTACCATGGCTTTACCTCTGGCAGATTAGTTTTGATCGAATTCTTTATTGTCGGCCTTCTTTATTAATTCTTGATTTTATATATAAAAACATAACTTTATTTGTAAAGTTCTATATAAAGTTCAGGTCAATGTTATCTTTTCATATTTACGATTTGATTACTAGTATATGACTACATTATGAGTTTAAAAGTGGTCAAATGAAGTTGCAATTTTATGAATCATTTAAAAGAGAGGTGAAAGATTCCAAAAGGGCATTGTAAACTCATCAGTCGAAAAAAAAAACTGACAATGCCATGGCTAAAAAAGAAAAAGACAAACAGACAACAGTACACAAAGCACAACATAGCAAATTAAAGACTGAGCAACACCAATCCCAATAAAAACTGAGCGTGATCTCAGGTGCTCCGGAAGTGTGAGCAGATTCTGCTCCACATGTGACACCCGTTGTGTTGCTCATGTAAGTACAAACCCGGTGATAAGTCTGATTCGGTAGGTCACATGTAGGGAAAAGGTTTAAAGTTTGAAACAAACATTTGGAAATTGTGAAACAAGACCTACCTCTTCACGATTATGATATTGTTACTTCAAATTAGATATTATAACTCGTATACGAAGTAAAGTAAGTACTGTTAGTTTTTCTACGTAAGGTTTCTTTCTTTTAGTTTATTTTGTCAGTTTTGATACTGTGCAAATTACAAAATGTACCATCCAATATGTACTAAGTATTTAGTCTTTTATCGAATTCACCAACAGAAAGTCCAATTGGAAGTATTATATTCACATATATAAAGAGCTTTTGTTAAGCGTTATACAGATAGATTCCTGTCAACAGTCGATTATTTATAAACATTGAGGGTCTATATTTCTAGGGAAAAGTTGGGATTTACAATTTTGATAATCCAGGATACAATATTCACATACGCACTTGATAAAAACACAAACATGTTGCACTTAAACTTTGATTGATTTCACAACAAGAATTTTCCAAAGATGTATACTTACTTTTGCATTTGTTATTCTATCATTTTATTAAAATGATGATCCTTATATATTTTGCACTTCATCTAAATGTGTTAATTTGTCTGTACTAGGATTGGTTGCCTAGTGTTTGTTTTTGTGTAAATTTATATATTTTGTAATAATGCTATCATTCCCTTTCCGCACTTTATTTTTAGTTTTCATCGAGGCGAAAGTAGCCCTTACTCTTACTCTTATCAAAATCACAAAGTTAATTTACTCATCCTTACCGAATATTGCTATTAAAATTTATGAGATATTTGTCCAATGTTTTTGTATAATTAATACTGATTATTAGTTTGTACATGTAATCATAGAAAATAGAGTTTGCATATCCTGAAAAACTTGTCATTCTTTAAATTAATTGATTGATTTGTCGGTGTTTAACGCCACTTTCAACACTCTTGTGCTATTTCGTGGCGGTCAGTCTTTATTGGTGGAGGAAGCCGGAGTGCCCGGAGAGAACCACAGACCTTTGGTAGGAAAACAGTAAATTGAGAGTGAAGTTAATTCTAGTTGTTTTCGTATGCATTAAACGGCCTTCCTGGTTTTGCATTCACATTTCGTGCTGTTTTGTTACTTCATGGGTTTACGCGTCCCTGGCGTTCAACTGTTTAGGTTTGATCGTTCCTTATGAATGTAACTTCCGAACGCACACAATATATAAAGTGTTTCTTTATTTATTAGCAGTAGTTCGATGCCGCTGCTGGAGGACTCTTGATATTGTCAGCTTGAACAAATTATAACATGAACTTATCTAACATCCCATCCCCTTACTGTTACCATACCAAAACATTATTAAGAAAATAAGGATCCAACTATAAATCAGGCAAAGTTGACATAGCATGAATATGGATGTTATGTTAATGTCCATTTTGATCATATAGCTTCCAACCTTGTAGCGTAGTAAAGAATTCCTTTCTTTCAAATGGTTAGTGTTGAGCGTCCCCGATGAAAGCAAACACAAAAAAAAAAAAAACTTATCAGACGCACAACAGTTGTCAAGTTTATTTTATATTCATTCAAAGTATTTGCGATTTTTGAGTTCCTGTGACTGTTTTTTATTTGTAATAAATGGCAATTCTTTATTCTACACCACAACATTGATATAAAAGTTATTAATAAAAAAAACTCATCAAAGATTCCAGGCTATTTGGTTTATAATTTGGTCTTCTAAGTAGTACACGTGTACATAGTAACAATCTCTTTATCTTTATTAAGTTAGCAAAACTTCACTTTCTTCACCTTCATAGCATCAGCAATCTAAAGAAAGATTAAAATCAATCATTTATCTGTAATAATAATATAGATTCTACAAAGATACGAACATTCCACTGTATTTCATCGAGATCACAGATTAGCAATCTAAGATCACGGATTGTCAATCCGATATGATCACGGATTACCAATCCGAGATCACGGATTAATTATTTTTTTCATGTGTCCCTTTATGGTACGGGAGTTACACGACTACACCCTTTTATCATTTGTTTACAAAACGTTAAAACAAGATAAATTATTCACAAGCTTGATATCAATTGATCTAAACGTGTTTTTATTAAACCCTTTTTTGGTTCTTAAAATTATATTTGATCTTCTCCTGCGTACTTGCTTAAGATTATTCTCAGCGGTATCAAACACGCCCATACAAATAACAAAAATGATGGAGTATTTGTACTTTTTGAGATGGTCCCCACATCATATTGTATTCATCTTCCATCCAAGACGAGCGCCAACAGTAGTATCGACTTTTCTAACACATCTATTGAAATCATGTTGCGCTAGAGGTATTTAAGATTCCATATGTAAACGCTTAATTTACATGTATTCGACGTTTTCATCATTTCGAAATTAATCTGCATGTTTTTATCTTGACTGTTTTACATAACACTTATACATATAAATAACCTTCAATATAAACTATTCAAATCGTGCGTATACATATTCTTCACTCAGTACAATTTTAACAATGTTCAAAAGCAGTTTTTTGCAACAATTCTTGTAAATACAAAACAAATACCTGTTGTGACACGAAGTCGACCAGAAGTTGTTAGAACTGCAGCTGCATTGAAAGCCTTACATGTGTACTCTCCACTATCTGTCGTTTTCGTATTAATGATCCTCAACCTATTATAAAGACTGCACATGCTACACAGCTGAACCAATACAGACAAAAAGTATTAACATTATGATTTATGAATTTCATTTACCTTTTAAGACAAAACAAAATAATATGAGGAAAAATACCTTTCGATCTAGTTTGAATAAAGAACGGCACTGAATGGTTCCACAACGATCTTGTCTCATTGACAATCGTACTTTCTTGTTTTATATTGAATATGTATTTTTAATTCTAATTGATGATCTCTAGATTTAAATTGCTGTTGTTTGCAGTGTGCTCTTTTCGGTGTTCTGTAAGCACTATCTGATGTGACCCAATACAAATACTGTAACAGATAAAATTGAGAATGGAAATGGGGAGTATGTCAAAGAGACAACAACCCGACCAAAGTGCAGAAAACAGCCGAAGACCACCAATGGGTCTTCAACAAAGCGAGGAAATCCCGCACCCGGAGGCGGGTTTCAGCTGACCCCTAAATAAAAATGTGTACTATTTTTTATTCTACATTGGCTAGAGGTATAGGGAGAGGGTTGAGATCTCACAAAACATGTTTAACCCCGCCGCATTTTTGCGCCTGTCCTAAGTCAGGAGCCTCTGGCCTTTGTTAGTCTAGTATTTTTTTTAATTTTAGTTTATTTATATGTTTTGGAGTTTAGTGTGACGTCCATTTTCACTGAACTAGCACACAATTTTATTTAGGGGCCATCTGAGGACCACCTCCGGGTGCGGGATTTTCTCGCTACATTGAAGACCCATTGGTGGCCTTCGGCTGTTGTCTGCTCTTTGGTCGGGTTGTTGTCTCTTTGACATATTCCAAATTTCCATTCTCAATTTTAGTTCAATGAAAATTGACGTCATACTAAACAGAGTTTATATGAAAATGGCCGGCCTAAATGTTTTGGTGATTTTAAGAATAAGGTCATCTTACCTTGGCTTGTCCGTAAATTGAATCTCGAAAAGTTATATATATCTATGGAGGCACAGATTTTTCGGATTTGTAAATATTTACCTGGAATACTTGGAATTTCGTCTCATATTAAAACGCGTAGTATTGTTTAGTGTCATACCATCGTGAAACCACTCATAATCAGGCAATGGGTCTCCATTAATGTCGCAAAGGAAATACGCAGTATGACCAACGCACACAGCTGCATTTTCCATCTCTGCATTTTTCTTGATTGATTGTCCTAGATATAAATAAAATAAGGAATTTAATTTGTCAGTATAAGAGTTATGTCAACCAAAATAGACAGAACGTAAAACAAAATTAGCATTTAACTATATATATATATGCAAACGAAACACAATATTCCAATCAACGAAATTGTCAATGTACGAAATGGTCAGGGTACGAAATGGTTTATGGCCAGGGTACGAAATGGGGGTATTAAATGGTTAGAGTACGAAATGACTATAATTCGAACAAATAAAGGTTTGTTCAATATTTAAATGGTAGTCAAAACTGTTTTCTGTAAATGAATTGTTATGGAAAAAAATAATAGCAGTAAACTAATTTGTAACACTTAAATATGGATGAATTGGGATTTTTTTTTTACCTCAGTTCTATAAATTAGAAATTGCAAGTGTTACAACTCCAGTAAAATTAGAAAGGATTTTCAATTTCATGTATTGCAAAGTTGCCATTAAAAATACCTTTTTCAAGTCCAACTCTGCATTTATTTTTTTTCCTTATGCTATTTTAATTACCTGCAGTTGCCAAAAACGCAGTACAACACAACAGGAGCACATTGAATATTAAAGTCGACATCAGTGATGGTGTGTTTTAAAAAAGGAATCAGTGGCTGTAATATGACATGGAATAAATTACAACCTGTATGGTATTATATAAACATTTCTATGTAATATCATAACATATGTGTTAAACGTCTCTAACCATCAATATTGTAAAAGTTATAAAGTACAGCACACGCTACTTTTTGTGTCTACATTATATTAGCAGAAATCATATGTACTATCTGTTGTCCTTCATCTTTATGTCTAACCTCGGGGCCTCGGTAGTCCAACTACTAAACCACTAGCCTGTCAACACTGAGCTAGTGAGTAGAATTCCCCGAACGTGCCAGGTGCGCTCGACTACAATCTTAATTGACTAGGATTCAGTGGTTATCGTTTGCTTCTGTATATCTTATTACATTTTTTTTTATTATTGTGTTTTACATAAATCCGGCCGTAAGTATTATCGTTGATATTGTTTTACATTTGTCATGTCGGTGTATCTTACTATTAGATATGGGTTTCACTCATTGTTGAAGGCCGTACGGTGACCTATGGTTGCTAATTTCTGAGTCATATGGGCCTACTTCGATTCATCCAACTCGGGTTAGTAGAGTCTGTCGAGTCTACTCGACTGACAATCGAAACCCCTCCCCCCCCCCCCCCCGAGTTTGACCTTTTGAACCTACCCGAGTTAACTCGACATCAACCCTCGGTTGAGGCAGGTTTGCTAGACTTACAAAATGGCGACAAACAAGAACAGCAAAGAAGAGTATGATATAAATAACCAAAATTTTACAAAATACAACCGGAGAAAGGGGCTGTTATTGAAATTTAGTTTTTTGTTGTTTTTTTTTTTTTTTGGCATTAAATAAATAATTTTCGTGTGTAAATACCTTCGGTGATGTTTAAAGAGTAGGAAAAAAAAGATATTTTCGTGATTATGAGTTGCGAAGATTAAGATGTGAATATATTACGACAATCCACTCTCTTTACTTACAATAGGAGTTTTAAAATGAATAAAATGACCTGGTAAGAACTGGAAATGACTAAATGATAGAAGTTTTTTAATATAATAAAGTTACAAATTTGAAAATAAAAATTGTTTATTATCGACGTCCATAAAAAGAAAATTATCAACTGCTGCTATATTTATAGCCACCATTTTGAGCATTAACACTGATTTTATAACTCTAGTCAACCCGAGTTGGACGAATCGCAGTAAGCCATTGTGAAGAGTTACCTAACTGGCATTTATACCACTTTTATTTTATATAAAGCATACTCATAGAAGTTTAAAAGAAATATTTTTCAGTACGGGCGAAAAAATATATCCCATTAAACATTTGATTCTGTTTCGAATAATGTTAGATTCAGTTTAACATTTAAAAAAAAATATTAAAGGGAAACACGCTCGATGAAAAAACAAAAATCTAGTTTATAATTGTAAAGTATATTTAGGAAAATAGAATAAGCGGATGTGGTATCGTTTCCAATAAGACAACTGCATGTATTCACTTAAGATAAATTGACGTAGATTTAAGCAACAAAGGTCGTGATACTAGGAGTTCATTTTTAATACAATGAATTATCTAATTCATAAATGCTAATGGACTGATTAAAATAGCAATGGACTTTCTACAAAGAATTAAATTGAAAATATTTAATTGGTCGTTTATTTTGAAATTAAACAATTGTATAGTCAGTTTGGTGTCAGTGGGTAATTATGTTATATAGATACAATGGATAAGCGTGGATTCTTGAAAAAGAAACCATGAGCCCGGAGGGCGAATGGTTTGTTTTTCATGAATCTACGCTTATCCATTGTATCTATAACTTAAACTATTGTGTTAATTTCTTTTCAAAATTAAAGCCTTTTCTTAATTAGAAGGTATTGTAAGTGAGTTTAAATAGCCATGTTATCGTGTCCAACGATGCATTGATAATTCTCAGATCACAATTAATTGGTTAACAAAATACAAATATAACACTTCTACCTTTAAAGATCTTTATATTACCAGGCATATGAATATTATCTGTTTATACAAAATAAGACATATTCGAAATTATTTCTAATAAAATTGAAAATGGAAATGGGGAACGTGACAAAGAGACAACAACCCGACCAAAAAGCATATATAAAGTATATATAATAAGTATGTTATCGAAATTTTTCTAGCACTCCAGGCACATCACGATTTTCTCGCATATAAATTTGCGAACAAACCTTTGTAAAATTATGTAGTAAAACAGATGAAATCATACTATATTTATAAAACAAAAATTGACAAATAGAATGTAATCATTTTTGTTTCAAACATGTGAAATAGCCAATAATTATAAAAAAAACAACGGTAAAACTCGCTTTTATTACAAAAATACATGTATCCACTATAACATGCAAAATTAGAAAAAAAAAGAATTGGAACAACAGAGAGAATACAGGGATTCGAACCTAAACCGACAAATCCCTATTTTTAACTCATTGATTTTAACCATGCTAACCTCGCCGCTACCAACTCATACTATACGACTGCCTATTGTGTCTATATAAAGGTACAAGCCCTGTGTGTCCGATGAACCGATATATATCAGATGTTCATTTAAATATATAAAATAGACACTTATAGTGTAACCCATTGGTAGCCGAGAGGTTTCGTCGATGTGTTGATGTCAGTCACACATAACAGATTTCAAGGAAGGGTTCGATTCCCAGTGAAGGCATATAAAAATTACAAAAATTAAAGGTAAGTTTTTAAATTAATTCCATTAGTGAACAGAAATCAGTAAATTAGCCAATTCAAACTTAATGAAATTAGGCACACAAAGGAAACAATCGAATATAATTTGGTGAGTCAATTTCAGCGGCAGATTTAGGAAGCGTTGATTCTAGAAAAAGAATCCACGGTAAATGAATAGGCTGACGTCACCACAATGGTTTAAATATTTCGTATACACAGGTCTTGCTATTCAGAATGACATTTAATTACACTTATATAAGTACATTTAGTACATTTTAAAAGTCAACATCGTGATTGTTGCAATAGAAGCAGACATGTTTATGATATAGGCTTGTAATATTTGTAATCATAGTGTATAGGAACACTTGTACTTGTAGGATTAGTTCTTCTATTGGTTTAAGAACAGACCGATGCAGATGTATATTGACAGAAAAGAAAGACTTTTGTTTAAACCTGTATTATGGGCTGTCTTCAACTTGCAGTGAGAGGGCAGTTTTGTTCAATGTTGAAGGCCTCACTAACAGTGTCTTTAAGCGGAAGAACAGTAATTAAACTGGTGGTTATTTGCTTTGGGTTAGTTATGCATATGTAGCGATATTATATCATGAATTGATAAAACATATCCTTTATGTTTCATTTTGAATAGCGAACATCGACATTCAAAAAGTCTCCTTAAGTATTTTCAATGACAGAGAAAATCAAATAACCTGATGCATTTTGTTTTTATATCAAACCATCACTTCACTGCAATTGACCACTAAGCTACTGGGTGTAGAAAATTGTATCACTCTACATACCGCACGACTTCTATATATTGAAAATGTACAAAACAACTCAAACTGTTAATGCAATTTTATGGCGTACTCAAGATTGGACAATATAACGGCGAGTTCAACGAATAAGGATTGGTCTCAAAATTTTAATAGGTCAACACAACTAGTTGGTAAAACGATAAACATATCTTATTGTTATGAAACAAACAATGTAGATAACTTACGGAGGATAATATAGAACCTCCAAACAGTAAATTTTGAAATTCGAAATCAAAAATCGTGATCATAGATTAAAATCGTCATTATGTTTTTTTGTCAAATAGTTAACATGGTTAATATAAACCTTAAATGTTGTAGTTGTAATATAGGCAAAAAAAAAAAAACTAAAACAAAAACAAAACAAAACAAAACAAAACAAAAACAAAAAAACTATTAGTTTTACACTAACCTGACCACAAATAAATCCTCCTGATTGTCTGGATATTGAAAAATTAGGTTAGTAGAGAACAATGCAAAAGATTGCAACTAGTTCAAGATATTGATCACTTATCTAATCAGTTGACACTACTAATACATTGTACGCATATACTTGCAATTCATAGTATATTTGTATTTGGTGGTTTTTCTTTTGTGTACAAAGTTTTTAACGTTCAGAACGTCCAAATAATAGTTACTGTCTCATTATAATTAACAACTACATGTATTAACTCGTCAAGATTTAGATTTTTTTTTTGACAACTACACCAGGCAAAGTTGTGCTAAATACTTTGTTTTGTTGGTCGGTTGATGTATTGTTTCAGAGCAACCTTACCACACTATATGATTTTAGATTTCCTTTGTTGACCTTTTCTTGTCTATGGCCAGATGATAATTTTATAAAAAGTGCGTAAAAAGGTCATTATCATTTGTGTTGTTTTCCAAAATTACGAACTGAGAACCAAGGAATCGGGATTTCCAATTCAGTTCGGTTATTTAAGTCAATTTAATTTGCATATTAATTAACAGAATGTTGTAGATTTATTTACAATTTTATTTTCAAGGATATTGTCTTTTATGATCTATTGTAGTAATAATAAACTAAGACAATTTAGAAGGAGTTTATACATGTGGTAGCGCTCGGTCGACACTCATAAACGAAGAAAATTCCCAAGGACTAAATTTCAAGTTTGCGAATGAAAGGCTACGTTAGCATATCAATCAATCACTAGATAGATATAAGAAGATGTGGTATGAGACAACTCTCCATCCAAGTCACAATTTGTAAAAGTAAACCATTATAGGTCAAAGTACGGCCTTCAACACGGAGCCTTGGCTCACATCCAAGCTATAAAGGGCCCCAACAATGACTAGTATAAAACCATTCAAACACGAAAACCAACGGTCTAATAGTATGAATTTATGATAATTCTCATAATTATATAAATGGACCAATAATTATGTTCAGATTGAATGTACATACAATATAAGCCACTTGAAGACAGGAAAACAATATATATAATCAACCATTCAAAGAAATTTAAAGTATATACTTATTGTTCAACATTATTTCACTTATGATTGTATTAAGTGTTATGTAATCATCTAAATAAAATGCAACACTAATCTTTAAATTAACGCAAAGCAAATAGTAATGGAACAATTATATGCTCCAAGAAAAATGTTGAAAGAGCGTTATTTAGAATAGACTTTTTACCAGAACTTTTAAATAAAGATCTGACCGCAATCTCTCTGACAAAATTATAAGACAGTTCAAACAAGAACGTATTTACTATATGAAATTAATTAAGTACCTAGTAGATGTCCATATATTCTCAACCCAGATAAGCATTCCATAACAGCAAACACACATTTAATGTACATCACATTCACACAACTTACTTATCTATTTATTGTGGATCACAATTCGTAGGCTATTGAAATCAATCGCCTAGTATATACACAATGTTCACTGTGTTGATTCTAGCGATTGCGTGCACTGTTACTCATGCAGAAATTGTGCAAAATGCAAATATGGAAGGTTCATCAATTGCCCCATGGCATTGTAATGGCTGCACTGCTAGTATATCGCACGATAGTTTGAATGGAAAGCAAAGTATAATGATTTCTCACAGGTATTTTTATTTTTATTTCAATTAAACAACTTTAATATCTCTTTTATTTGCTCAATCCAACCCTTAGTTTTGATGAATTGCTTTATAAATTTTTACAAGTTTTTATCGGCAGCCTTTATAAATAAAACGCATATGTACTTTATAACTCTGCAACTGTTGTTTCACCTACATACCTTTACTTATTAAGTATATAGGTAAACGAAATTTACAGAGACAAGTGCATGTGTACAAACTGATCAACATTTACATGTCAGCATTTGGGTTTGTTATATAAGGGTCAACTTAGATATTTATTCAGTACATCTATGTAGGCAACCTCTTGAAAAACTTATATAAAATTGTATAGCACGAAAATTATATTCGGTTGATATATTTACATAAATGATACGATATGTATTGCATTTCATGTTATCATTATTTTTATTTATGAAATGTAGGTAAACATTATTTTTTTAAGATTTCAGGAATAAGCATACTAGTATTTATTATTGTTTAGAGGCCAGCTGAAGCTCGCTTCCAGGTGAGGGATTTTCACGCTGCGTTGAAGACCTATTGACCTATTAAGATAGAATGATGTCAACATCGTCCATATACCGCCAACCTTAATTGCAGAGGAATGGCAAGATAACACTTTAAAACATCAGTCTAATTAAGTCCATTCATCTCTGTTTAGTTGACAAGGCCGATAGGTACTGGAATAAATAGTATTTCAAGGTCCACAAACAGTCAATTTCAAGCTTAAAAGATACAAACAATCCAACTGAATATGACAAAATACATGTGTGTCCAAGTGAACGAAATGCAAACCAGTATTAGAATTATAAGAACAAAAACATTTTTGTTTAATTTCTTGCAATATTTATAAGATCGTTACTACTAAATATTAAGTGTTGTACCGTTTATATGTGTGTGAATACAAAAACTGTGGCATACTGAATATTTCAGGCGAGCAGGATGGGCCGGAGTTGAACAGACGGTGCACGTACAACCGAATCATAATTACTTCTTCAATGTACACTTAAAACTCCTCAACCTGGTCCCAGGATATATGTACCATCATATCAGTGTTAAGTTCAAATATTCAGTAAACAGTAAGTAAGATTTGATTTGAGGTGATCTCGTGTTAGCTTGCTACCATTGAATGAAAGAGTTCCTAGGTTCGATCCCCTGCTGTGTCGAACTTATTAAACATTTGTATTTTTGGATTATCCGCTAATCACGCGACATAAACACGTTTTAACAAAGACTGGTAGTTGGGAGGCAAACAAATGTGTCTGGATAGGATGACATATCCAACCGATTACAACCATCTGAGCTAGCATGTTAAACATCTTGCTCAGCGTGTAGGTCTTGTACAATTGATTGATTGATTGTTGGTTGTTTAACGGCCAGTGGCAAATTCGGTCTAGTACAAAGCAGTTGATTTTCATTTTACATTATTATGTTTTGCACTAATATTCATGTAATATCAGCCACTGGAGTTAAATATCAATTAATCATCATTATAATATAAGAATTTAAGAAAGTTCACATGCAAATTTTCATACAAATTAAATATTTTGTCTTCTTATGCGTATGCTTTCTCCAAAATCCAAAATCATGATCTAGTTCAAAAAAATGGAATAGCAAATGTAACGAACTAACCAAGGGTTTGTAAGAGCTGTTAACTTATTGTGTAAAGCCTACCAATTTTTTCAACTGTAAGAACATTTTATTATTGGCGAACAGTCAGTTCCTATAATGAATGTGGTATAACCCTAACCCTAACCCTAACCCTAACCCTGACCCTAAAATGTTTCGTTATTTTATTTATTTTTATTCATTGGCTTTCTATATGTTCAAAGATTCAAAAATGTGAATTGTGATTCATACACTTTGAAAAGTCTTTACATCGATGCTTATTTATAAAAAAAATAATTAAAGTTTAAAGAGTGCTGCCAAAACTACAGTACATATTATAGTGACGCCGTTATTAAAAAAAGAGATCAACAAAGTTCAACTTTTGCTCGGATGCATTTCGGATCATGCTTATACTGGCAACTGTATTGAATGAAGTGAAAACGATAAGTCAGGTTGGACTTTTAAATTTTCGAACTTTAAAAAAAATAAAAAGAGTTATCGTTCTTACAATAATATGATGTACACCTCTTATAATATGTTCTATTGTAGATCATGTTCACTATGTCAGAATAAGTTACTCACCGATGCAGCAAGTCAGTTTTGGTTATCAAGAAATAGGTGGTGATTTTCATGTTCCGAATGGTAAATATATTCGAAAGAAACGAAAACGAATAAATGAAAAATCAAAACTGAGCAACTTATAAAAAGGTACGGCAAATCCAAATTCTCATCTTCTACAAATTGTATTAGTTTATCTCACAAGGGCAAAATCAGAATGTTTTCGGCCTACTGGAGTTCACATTTGTAAGACCTTATAGGATACAGTTTCATAGACAGAATTTCGAAAGTGTTCATATATATTCCATAAATTTGTTTGAGACAAGATTATTTTCGTATACACATTTCTTATACCTAACTTTGGCCAAAATCTGTCACACTGCAGTTTTGTGTCTTCTAAAGCCATTTATTATTTGTTCATATTTGGGGGAAAACAAAAAAGCCGTTACAAACTTATAGTGAACATACACATTTCTGATACTTTAAATTGTAGAAAAGATAAAGGGATTTTTAGAAAAAGGTCCATGTATCATATAAAATCAAGAGAAATTTACTCTCACTATTCTCAAATGCCATTAGTTATAAAAACACTAATTCATATCCCCATTGCTTTCAATGTTAAATCCTGCAATTTATAGCGTTTTTTTTTTTCAATCAAATATAAAGTGACTGATAAAACCTATCCTGAGATGTGCTGAAAAATAACTTTTAGAGCGCACTGGTTCCTGGAAGTTAAATAGTACAAAATCAGGCAGTTCTGATCTGAGCAAAGTGCAAATATGCCCTCCTATAATAATTTAATATATTTGTTTATTAATCAAGATATACTTATAACAGGGGTTCTACGGTGATTCCAAGTCCGTAAGCTTTCATTTGAAACCAAATTTACCCAAATGATTTACTTGCCGATTTTTCTTTTTATTGCGGTAAACAAGTGACGGTTTGTTTATCTGTTTTATTAGAAAAAAAATAATAACATGCTAAAAGTAATGTCTTAGCGCATACTGATTCTATTGTTTGTAATTTCATCCCTAATTTGTACAAGCAATTAATTTAGGGTTGTTTTCTATGTTATCTGTGTGGCCTAAAATTGTCACAAGACCATGCATTGTTTTATAATTATCATAGAAACGTTTATTTTAATTACTTATTCGTAGACCTTCGATTGAAAATTGCATCAAGAAAACTTTTTTATGGTGTTTCTTTCAAATTATTTTGATAAATCCTTCGATATAGATATGATAAGCATAATGAAACATTTTTTGAAATTCATAGGTGTCAACAGTATAACCATATATATTGAAATAAGCGAAGCTAAGGTCAACTACTTACTGGACGATGCAACATTACAAGAAATAACACCAAATTCAAACTGGAAATCTGAGGCACAAGCAAGGATTGAAAAATTAAGGAAAGCTCCTCTCAACATTAAGTACGTTCATTATTTAGATTTGGAACTAACAAAGAAAGGAGATAAAACTCATTTTAGGTTAACGAATCAACAACTAGTAGAATGCCTGTGACAAAAATGATCCACGTTACAAGTAACATTATTGATTTGATACTAGATCAGTTTCAAATTGATACTTAAATACATTGACGAAACAGTCTATAACAAACTCATTGCTAAGTTTTATAGTCATATCACCTAGTACAGCCGCCTAAACTCACAATCATTACAAATTAAGAATAATGAGTAGAATTAAAAAAACAATTGTTCAAAGAACAATTGAAGGTTTTTCCACATCAATTTCCTAAATGATTGATAGGAAGCTACTTCTGGTTTAATCAAAGCTATTAATAGCGTCAAAGTATAGGTTTCTTCATTCTGATTCAATAAATATGTGGTTTCCATATACTTTTACCTGAAATAAGGGAGATAATTGCCAACTTCCGGTTTAGAAAATGTCACTTCCGGTCTCATATGATAGCTTTATTCACACTGATTCCAAAAATATATAGTTTGTATATACTTATGCCTGTAATAAGGAAGATAATATGCTACTTCCGGTTTATAAAATGTCACCTCCGGTCTCAAATGATAGGTAAATGTATGATCATTCAAAAAATATATGGTTTCTGGGTACTTTTCCATGGAATAAGTGCAAAAAATACTACTTCCGGTTCACTCAAGGTCACTTCCGGTTGACTTTTTTCAAGGTCATATGTCAACAAACAGTTTGCAAAAGACCCTATGGCTCTATCATGTACAAAGTTGGAGTAATAATCAATTAACCTTAAATTGAATCATTTCAGGGACAATAACTCCTATAAGATATTATTGGATTGTTTCAGACCAAATGTATCATATCTGAATCACAATTAGGCAAACACTTTGCACTAGTTCTTTTATATATATCTTTTAAAGTGACAGAGGAGATCAAATAACAAGGAAAAGTCAAAATTTATAATATGACCTTGACCTTTGACCTTGGCCTCAATTTCATTTAAATGAACCAAGGAACTTAAATCAATATACCTTAGGTCTCTATCACTTACCATTCATGCTATACATTTATATATCCCTTATGTCAAATACAGAAGGGGAAATAACTCTCATATGGAGTTTACGTATCGCTTCGGTCAAAATTGGACAAAACATCCTGAGGAAATAAAGAGCAATTTGGTAAAATAAATTTGTCGCTTTCTTTAACGGTTACGGAGGAGATGCACTCAAAAGGAAAACAGTGTTCGGGGAGATAACTCCTACAAAGAAAAGTATTCGGTTAAGCAGGGTCAATTTCAAAGGCGCATAAACTGAGAGGGAAACAAATGGGTTACCAAAAGTCGGTGATACAGCCAACCGAAACAGGCTATGAATGAAGGTCTAGATGGGGTTAACAGAATAGAGAATAATTAATGAATAGCGTAAAATCAGCAAAAAAAATACAGAATAGAAAATAACGGGATTCAAAAGAATAAAGAATATCTGTGACAAATGCAAGAATTAGGTAATAACATACTGATTCCAGAATGAACCATCTACAGAATAAAGAAATCATGTAGATACAAATAAACCTAATAGAAAAAATAGAATTTCACGGAATAAGCGTTATTTTCAAAGATAAAGAAAAACGCCCCAAAAAATGAAACAATACAGATATAAAGGACCCCCTATCCAGACCCTCATAAATGTGAAATAAGATTGTTCATGCATAAAATATATCAAGGCTCGTTTTAGAGCTTTTTAATAATGGATATTAGAAAAATGGAAGTTTGTAGATATTTTTTTTTCTCTTTGTCAGTTTGTTATAACTTTATTCGTCTCATTTAAAAATAAGATTCTTTTTGATTTCATCCTATCCTTTTTTAGAGAAGCAAAACAAACAAAAAAATCAGATTTTTTCATTATTGATTTCTTTCACAATTCAGATATAACTTCTGCAAAATTCATAATCAGTCCAAAGGTAATAAAGGATATGTAATGCTTTTCTATGTATTTTTTTGTACACTACAAAAGAAAACTAAATCTTTACACATCGAAGTTTATCCATTTTAGGATTGAGAATCATGACAATGCTGATACTAGTAATTTTAAAATTGAAGTAAGTATAGAACTCCAGGACGATTGACAAATTATTACATTTACTATATTCTATGTGAAAAATATACTTGAATACTCGAATAACTTGAGCATAATTCAACTTTTTTCAACACAAACACTATATATACTGTAAATTATGTTATATAGATACAATGGATAAGCGTGGATTCTTGAAAAAGAAACCATGAGCCCGGAGGGCGAATGGTTTGTTTTTCATGAATCTACGCTTATCCATTGTATCTATAACTTAAACTATTGTGTTAATTTCTTTTCAAAATTAAAGCCTTTTCTTAATTAGAAGGTATTGTAAGTGAGTTTAAATAACCATGTCATCGTGTCCAACGATGCAATGATAAATCTCAGATCACAATTAATTGGTTAACAAAATACAAATATAACACTTCTACCTTTAAAAATCTTTATATTACCAGGCATATGAATATTATCTGTTTATACAAAATAAGACATATTCGAAATTATTTCTTATAAAATTGAAAATGGAAATGGGGAACGTGTCAAAGAGACAACAACCCGACCAAAAAGCATATATAAAGTATATATAATAAGTATGTTATCGAAATTTTTCTAGCACTCTAGGCACATCACGATTTTCTCGCATAGGAATTTGCGAACAAACCTTTGTAAAATTATGTAGTAAAACAGATGAAATCATACTATATTTATAAAACAAAAATTGACAAATATAATGTAATCATTTTTGTTTCAAACACGTGAAATAGCCAATAATAATAAAAAAAAAAAAAAACCAATAACTCGCTATTATTACAAAAATATCCACTATAACATGCAAAATTAGAAAAAAAAAACAGAATAAAATAAGAATTGGAACAACAGAGAGAATACAGGGATTCGAACCTAACCGACAAATCCCTATCTTTAATTGATTTTAACCATGCTAACCTCGCGGCTACCAACTCATACTATACGACTGCCTATTGTGTCTATATAAAGGAACAAGCCCTGTGTGTCCGATGAACCGATGTATATCAGATGTTCATTTAAATATATAAAATAGCTCTATAGTGTAACCCATTGGTAGCCGAGAGGTTTCGTCGATGTGTTGATGTCAGTCACACATAACAGATTTCAAGGAAGGGTTCGACTCCCAGTGAAGGCATATAAAAATTAAAGGTAAGTTTTTAAATTAATTCCATTAGTGAACAGAAATCAGTAAATTAGCCAATTCAAACTTAATGAAATTAGGCACACAAAGGAAACAATTGAATATAATTTGGTGAGTCAATTTCAGCGGCAGATTTAGGAAGCGTTGATTCTAGAAAAAGAATCCACGATAAATGAATAGGCTGACGTCACCACAATGGTTTAATGAATTATGAAATGTAACAAATTTGCATTCGATGAAATGTGTAACTACCTTGCACTGTCATTGTTGACTCGTTTATTATATTTTATCTTTAGTATTTGTAATCCATCTATTTTGTATAGCTGCAAAAGGTTGTTATCATCCATTAATCAAAATTCTACATTCGCGACGCTTTTTTATAGTATAAAGAATTCAGGCACTCGCGAGTGGGAGAGTCGAGCACGAGGAGTGATTGAATTATTCGGGTTAGTCTCTATGCTGATATAACAGCTATCTATAACATCATTTTGTAACTGGACAATAACTTAGTATTTGATACTTTAACCTCAAACTCATCACGTTTTTAATCAGATTTAAAACTGTTTGGATTAAAGTTATTATCTGGATAATAATACACAAGAACTGTTAGAAGCGAAAAAAATGGAAGGGCAAATAATATAGAAGGGAAACACTGAATCTTAAAACTAATTGTTTTAATATATTATTTTATTTATAAACTTCACGTCAAAATGCCAGATTTTGATTGGATAATATGAGGGTGATAATATACTCTATCTAATGGCTCAGCGGGAGACATTTTTTTGAATGTCACCCTCTCGTGGAGACCGATCAAATATCGATAATTTAAAGGACAGTGAATTGAATTCACACAAATGAATTAAAGACAATGCCCAAGGTCTACATTTTGACATCAGAAGAATTTTTTAATAGACTACCAAAACGAAAGAAAAATTGTCTTGCTTCACTTCTGATGTTTTTTTTTCCGATAACTGTTGCGTTGTTGTGTGTGTGACGTTATAGTTAAAACATTCAGTATAATAAATTAAATAGCACATAGCAGAGAGGGTGATAGAGCAGATTGGTTCGCCTCGAAAAAGCATTATCAACCTCGGCTTCACCTCAGTTGACAATGTGTTCTCGTGGAAACAATCTGCTCTATCATCCTCCAGCTATATGCTATTTATATAATAGTGTTTCATGTACATTTCTTAGATCAAACAAGTAAAGAGTAGCTTTGCCTTTGGTACGGCTGTCCGTGCAGATATAATGATGGACCAGAACCAAAAGGCGTATCATGATTTCGTATATAACAACTTTGAATGGGCTACTATTGCTAACAATCTTAAATGGAGGCTAATGGAATTCACACAGGTAAACATTTGCTACCTTTGGGTCATAATTTGTGTAACCCCTTGGCCGTTTATATAAGGAATGGTGGTTTTTTCTGTTTTTATTTTGGCCAAGAATGCTTTAATTTCCCTTTATCTTAATAGGAGGGGTACACACACAAAAGTTGGAATGGTTCAATTTTTATGTTTTATTATTGCTAGTTGGTTTAAATTACCAACAGACCATTTTACCTCTTTTCTTAAATGCATTAATTACTATGTCGAATTATTATGAAACTACGGCGCTGACCCAATACAACCAAATCATGGTTAAATGATCGAAACAATTTTATTTTATTCTAAAAAGGCAACATCTTTCTGTTTAATTTAGCAGCTCAAAAAATTATTGTTCTTTTAGTGCCTTTTTAGTTATTTGCGTAGTGTTATTTTTTACTTTTATATTTTGTTGGTTATGATATTGTTCAGATTCATCAGTAAGAATTGACAAATATGACCATGTTTACACCACAAAATCTACTCTGAGAACAGACATCTAAGAAAGTTTTAATAGCTGGAACTAGGTAAATAAAAGTTAATCTTCTAAAACTTAAAATGCATTAAATTTTATTAAGGTCCAGCCATGATATAAAACGTTTTTTGCACAGGTTTTCTGTACTCAAATAAGAAAGATAGGTGTAACTATTAAACGAAAGGTTATGGATTTTTGTCAACAATTTTGTCTTGCTGTGGTGTTTTTTCAATCATTTTCTTTAATGGAAGGACAATTTATTTCATGTAGGTTAAAACATTCCCGGTACTAGTTGGGATGTGTTAATGCAAAAACGATTTAATTAATAGGTCTTGTAATAGATTGTGTACCTTATACATGTTATATTTGAATTTTAAATAACATATATTACAGGGTCATCCAATCTGGAATAGAGGAATTCCAGCAGTAAACCTTCTCCGTTCTAAAGGGTAGGCTAAATGGAAAAATATATAGATATAATACATTTACAAAATGAGTCAACACTAATATAATATTATAAACCGGTACACATACCGCAGCAGATACGAATTCCGACAATTAATTTCCGTTCAGTGATGATCGAAGCATACATGCTTTGAAAGTTGAAAAACTAATACTAAAGTTGACGACTGAGCAGATCCCTCCAAAAAGGACCACAAATATATCCAAATCCGGAACGTTTTTATCTCAAACCACAAGAATTTGAAAAGTATTTATTAATTGCAATATTTCCAGTGATTTGCAAAAGAAAAGCAACCGATACCAAAGGGACATTTAAAATCATAAGTCGAAAATAAACTGACAATGCCATGGCAAAAAACAGAAAAAGACTAACAAAAGATTGAGCAACATGAACCCCGCCAAAAACCAGGCCAGGGGAGGGGGGTCACAGGTGCTCCGGAAGGGTAAACAGATCTTGCGTCACATGCAGATGTAGATGTACGAAATTTTGCAGATTAATATATATAGTGCACGTCTTAATTATAAACACAACTGGTGGTTGATCAAAAGTATAATATTAATGTCCGTTCCAAAGACACGTGTTTCCGGAAAAAACCTTCATATGACATTCATGAGATCGAAGGTTTGGCGAGCGATTAGACTATAAACTCGTAAACGTGACAGTCTAAACCGTCAAATGATAATCGTAGTTTTAGAATTAAATTAATGTTAAAATTAATTAAAATAAAAATGCATTTGTATGGATTATAAGAAACAGAACATGATCATGTAATTCCGTTTGATCTATTCAAACCATGGGATAAACGGAATGACATACTAGTAAATATTTCTGTTAGAAAGAAGATGGATTGTTTGACGGCTGTTTAACGTCGAGTGACAAATTAAATGCATATTCAGGACAAACACACGAAACTATGATTTGAATACAATCTCAGCTTTGTACTAGACCAACATACTGAACCAGTTTTTCAAAGTGCTGTACGTAGGATGACATGTCACCATACTCGGACACATCATTCTGACATCGAGCCGACTAGTTTTTATGAAGGGCCGTTTGGGTCATAATTCATTTTGTTACACGTACGCTAGAGGTACGCGTAACAGGTCGTTCACGTACCCTACAAGTACACGTGCCACTTTGTTCACGTACCCTAGAGGTACACGTAATATTTTGTTCACGTACCCTAGAGTTACACGTAACACTTTGTTCACGTATCCTAGAGTTACGCATAACTATTTGTACAAGTACCCTAGAGGTACACGTAATTATTTGTATACGTATGCGGAATAACCTTTATACCCTATGCACATGAAATGAACTCGTCTGCGTGAGAATACTAATTGATCAATTAAATCAGACATTTTTAGAACATTTCAATTACTTGATTTAAAGTTTTATACTCGGTTAAAATTATTTATTTATTCATATTAAACATTAATGTTGGCAACAGATTGTGTACATTGAAAACAGTATAATTTGTTTTGTTGTTGGTTGCTGCCAAATTTCAAGCAGTTTTTACAGAGTTATCTCCCTTATCCAATACACATCCTTAATGGATATTATTAATTTCTTTCCGTTAAAATTTTAGATATCTGTATTCATTTCATTGGGATTTTTTTTATGGTGAATACTTATACTTTTCCTTACACAAAACATTTATTCCTTCAGTTGCAAGAGGTTTGAGGTTGGGGATAATAGAAATATGTTGACACGGATAATCCATTATTTAGGTAAAGGAATGACAGGTTTTCTGTTGCGGTTAGCTGCACGAACAAACAGTTACGCGTACCTCCGGAGTACGTGTACAAATATTTACGCGTAACTCTAGGGTACGTGAACAAAGCGTTACGTGTACCTCTAGGGTACGTGAACAAAGTGTTACGTGTACCTGTAGGGTACGCGAACGACCTGTTACGCGTACATCTAGCGTACGTGTAACAAAATGAATTATGACCCGAACGGCCCTTCATAAGTTTTCGCTCTTACTTCTAAATACCGCGTGCTTAGCGAAGAGGCAGTAAATGCAAATATAGATTTTCAAGATTTTGATTTGAAGCGGACAGGAATGGAACCCATTTCCCTTCGTACTCACTTCGAGAATACCGAGGCGATAATCTGGTAAATGGAGGATGCATCTTAGACAACATCTCGTATGTATGGTGAAATTATCTTTTTTTCAAGTAATTTCTACACAATACTATATTGAATGTACATTTGCATCGTTAATGCATGTTTTATCTCAAAGTAAATAACGTATGAAATTTTCAGAATGAAGGTCAGAGGTCATAATATGTTCTGGGGAGTAAAACACAATTGTCCAAAATGGATTTTGAATATGACTTCATCAGATCTGAACAATGCCATGCATGCTAGAATTCACGGAATGATGCTACATACAACAGGGAAGTACGTATCTGATATGATTTTAACAATTTCATAAGTTGCAGATATGAGAGTTTTATATCCAAAACTATTATCTTGTAACACGTTGAATACGCTATCAATACACATATCTAAATTTTGGTGCAACATATATATCGTCTCAACCACAATCTATTATGTTATATATTTTTAATAGCCCCATAAACACAATCCCTCAAAATTGACTGTTCTTTGGACGGGTTGCTGTCTATTTTACACATTCCCCGTTTCCAGTCTCTTTTCTATTCTTGATATTCCAAAACATATGGGTTTTTTTGGTTCAGGAGTTTCATAAAAAAGTTGAATATTTAAAGCAATTTATGATAAACAATGTTTGCGCATTTAAAATTTATGTTTTTTTTCTCCTTTCATCTTCACCAATAATTCAATTTTTCATTATTGATAACAAACCTTACAAACGATGCAGAGACGGGATGGATATGAGATAGGTTTGTAAGTCCATAGGTTTCAATAAAGCCCGGCACCAAGTGTTTTAAAGTAAAACACACTGTATAGCGTTCGATCGCATAAACACCAATAAAAATCATATTATAATACTAACATGAAATAAGATGAGTCGGTTTAAATCTGTTTGAATGTGAATTTTGATGCGTTTCAGCATATTATCGTTTAACTAACACTTTTACAATCTTTAAAATCTGCGAAAAACTTCAGTCAAGAAAAAAGGGAAACTTTGCTATATATATATATAATTGCTTATACTCATACTATATATTAAGGAGATGTGGTATGGTTGCCAATAAAAGACCTATCCACCAGAGACTATATATGGTAGATGTTAGCAATTATGAGTCATCGTACGACCTTCACAATGCAAAAATATCATTGATATATCATGCAAATATAGTTTTTTTTTTATAAATTGTATTAGTATTCCATTTAGTATAGGTACATTTCCTTTTTAGAGTTGAACACTGGGACGTAAACAATGAGAATTTACATGGTGATTTCTATGAACAACGCAGGTCTAATCCTAATATTACAATGAATATGTTTGAATGGATGCGATTAAAAGATAAAAACATGAAACTGTTTTTGAACGAATTTAACATCGTAATGGATTCCTCTGCAACAACAGTACGTATATATCTCCGAAATGGGATGGGGATATACATCTATGAAAAGGGAATTACGTCGAATAAACAGAGACAATACCATGACATAACAAAAACGAGAAACAGACAAACAGTCTACAAAAAAAAAACTACATTGAAATTTTGTTATTGCATTGTAATAACATAAATCCACATTGTAATAACATGAATCCAACCCATAAAAATTTTGGAATGCATGTCCCTCGGAAGGGTAAGCAGTTTATTTCTCTTTTTAGCAAGCGCCATGTTTATCATGACGAATAAGAAGTAGCGATCAGTGATATCAATACAAAATGCATGTTGTAGAACAATGAGATGAAATGTCATTGAACATTAAAGCGAGAAATCCATTTAAAACATAGTGATAAAAAATGAAGAAAAAAAAATGGAAATCAAAAAGCATAAGTCGCATACAAACAGATTTCACACAGATGGAAAAGATAACTACGAAACGACAAATAACCGTACACAAAACACTCTAAAGGAAATAAAGATCTAGCAATACGAAATCCCCTAAAAATCCGAGAGATATGGGGAGGGGGATTGGGGTTTTATCTTAGGTTTTTTATCAATAACAGAGATGATAAAATATCTTTAACCTGTTGTATAAATTCTAAATGGTATTAATGCGTATTAATGTGTAAAGTGCGTTGGACGATTTATGACACGAAATACGTATTTGGTTATTAAAAATTCACAAAAAGAATTTTAAATTCAAAGTCAGTACTTTAAAAATTTAGCAACACACATACTTATTAATTTTGTCGATACGAACAGGCTTGATTTGCTTAGGGTTTATGCAATTCCTACAAGTTTTGCTTTTTATCTTATATTTTACCTAAATGACTGTACGAGATTTAAGACCTGTAAGCTACTGTTCTATAATATTTGATATCATTTTCATAAGTGACGTACATTGTTCTGAAATGCTGACGTATTTTGTCTTGTGCTCTTTCATGTAAATACGTTTATGTATTACGCAAACATATGGCCAATTCTTTAATCCAGGCATATAGAAACCAGGGTAAACTTTTTAAGACTTCCGGTGTACCTATTTATGGACTTGGTGTACAGAGTCACTTCCATTCAGTTCCAAGTAGTATTGACGTGGTGAAGGTATGGTCAAAAATAAAATTTCTTTTCATAATGAATACGGAAAATTATGAAATAACAAATGTTCTGAATTAATATCATATTTACATTGTATATCATTAAATAAAATCATTAGCTTAAAGTTGAAAATTAGTGAAAAATAACGGAGAAAAATACTTTAATAATTCATTTGACGCATGGAAGACGACGAATACAACTTCATTTGGTCTTGTGTTTGTACATTTTGGACTTTAAAATCACAACGGTTTTTTTTTTAAAATTAATTTGACGAGAAAGAAGTCAATCAACTAGTACACATTTTTGTTAAGGGACCAGTTGAAGCCCCCCACCGGGTGCGGGATTTTCTCGCTGTGTTGAAGACCCATTGGTGCCCTTTGGTCGGGTGGTTGTCTCTTTGACACATTCCCCATTTCCATTTTCAATTTTATAATCTATGTATTTAATGTTTTATGAAATGTAAAATCATGGTTCATGTGTATCTATCTGGTGAATCCGTTTTCATTAATGTACTTTTTTCATTTTAGCTTATAAACTATTTATTAGATGTCAATATAAGTAGATGACGAGTATAAGCCAACGAGACAAAAACGAAATAAACCGAAATGCATAAAAAGGGCCATTTTAGATCTTCCAAAATGGCAAAGTGTCTACATATTGTACACAAGTCGTTGTTGATCGATCACACGCGAAAATTCAATTATATCATTTCATGCCTACTGAAACCTTTTCTATATCTACACTGTGTTGAGGTGACGTTCTTCGAGTTATAAATATAAAAAAAGAAGATGTGGTATGATTTCCAATGAGACAATTCTCCAAAAGAGACCAAAATGACATAGAAATTAACAACTATAGGTAACCGTACGGCCTTCAACAATGAGCAAAGCCCAAAGCTATTTACATCACAAATTGTTATTTATTTGTCATAGTACCGAGTAGATAAGGTAGCGGAAGCTGACTTACCACTCTGGATCACCGAACTGACAATTCATGAGGCAGACGAAAACAAAAAGGCTGCCGTCTTAGAAGACATCATGACTTTATACTTCAGTCATTCATCAGTTCATGGAATTGTATTTTGGGGTTTTCAAGACTCGTCAATACATGATCATGCTGCAGCCTTGACGTCAAACAATGTTGTGGTGAGTACATTCTATTTTTAAAATTCAAATTCTAATAGCTATTATTTAAAAGTTTTTAAACTATAGATTGGCATTATAAATTTATTTACATAATGTATCTGAACCTCATTAGTATCAACTAGTTCAGTAAGATTATCAGCAAAAATATATAATGGTATTATACCATAAACTGTATTATACCGTGTTATTAAAAAAGTACTGCCGAGTTTCGCAAATTTAGATTGAAAAAAGGATACAGTAGATAAAAACGAAATCACCTGAAAAGCAGGTTTTACAAAGAAATATATATTAAGTTGACTTCCTAGCTATGTGGATGGTCTAGTGGAGATCCCTCATTTTTGTATTCTTTAATTTTTTAGATTAGTTTTCCCTATTCTTTATTTGTTTTGTCCATTATTCTCTATTTGGTATATTTTAGTACTCCATTATTCTCTATTCTTTATCCCCCCCCCCCCCCCCCCCCCCCCCCCAATTTTCACTGTTCTTTATTTTGTAGCACTTTATTCTGCACTTGTTGTCCATTATTCTCTAATCTGTAAACCTTATCCATACCCTCATTATTATGCGACCAATTGCAGAAATATCTAGTGCACACTATTAAATATGTCCAGCAAAACTATAAGCAAATTCACTAAAAGTGACACGTAAACTCATCTTGTGCATCTTGTTTTACAGCCAAATGCCGCAGGAAGAAAGTACCAAGAACTTTTCCATAAAACCTGGCGTACCAATGAAGTCCACCCAGTTGCTTCGACTATACATTCTAAAGGATTCTTAGGAGATTACGAGGTGACATTGCTCCATCAAAATACAATTATTCATACTGAAAATTTTACTCTAGACCATAATGGTGCAACCCCAACATTTCATATCAGAGGAACAGGTAAAACGTTTTTAAAACTAGTATCAACTTTTGTTTTAATTCCGCCAGATTAATAGTGTTTGATATGAAAAAACCAAGATGCAATGAAAATTATTCAACAATCAACAGACACAAAAAACCAAATGTAAAGTCACCTGGAGGGAAAATTAGTTTTTAGCAATAGACACATGCTTTTATAATATGTCAAGCTCCTAAAACTGGCAATAGATTATTCAGGAACAATCAAAGATCTCCCATCAACACCAAATTCTCAAAATAACAAAACGAACATTGAAGGAATGACTGTAACAAAAATTCTGTCTATGAAGAAATAACATCAAAATGTGGTGCACACTGAATAACCCGGTGTACCACATTATTTAGGTTATTTCCGAATAGACAGAACATTTTTTTTGTACAGTCATTCCTTTTAATTTAATTTTAAATTCAATTGTTAAGGAGTAAATGATGAAAAAAACGTCGATGACCTCACGGTCACATGACAAAATTCTGTCTATGAGCTGATAGACAGCAAATCAGAAGACGTTTTTCATCCAAAATTTAACTATTAAGATATAACATAAGACAACGACTGACGAGGTTAATGATTTGAGACAGACTCTGCGTTTTTGGTTATTTCTTAAACATAACATGACAACACATGTTGTGTTTGTTGGCTTTGATGTGTTTACATTCACCAATGAGGCCCAGTTTAACAATAATAAAAAAAAAAATCAGTCGTAACTTTTTCGGGAAAAGTTGAGCTCGTACCAATTTGATTAAATTGCTCTTCACGTATGTAGAGATTTATATATATATATTGCCTTTTGAATATTTGGTCTTGATCGTGCCTCATGAAGTTTAGTCAAGAAATCCGCCTCGTGCATACATTGTTCATGAAATATTGTACTTTTGTGGCTTCATTATAAAACGAGGCCTAATATAACAGCTATAAACTTCTAATGTTATTATTTCCTATAGGTGATAACGCATTATTTTGAAAAATAATTGGCGACTTGCCGATATAAAAGATTAGATATAAATAATGAGGATTCCTTTTTTTCCTTGTACTTCTATCGAACGCTTAATAACATTTCATGTTATGGAAATATGGGAAGTTTGAGAACAGTATATTAAGCCTATAAAGTATAAAAAATTATAATACAGTCGCTGTAGTAAGATTTGATAGCTTTTAAAATGTGACCCTCTGCCAATGGATGGAACAAATATAGGAAAAATGTCCCTTCTCCTTTTAAAAAAATATAAAAATACGTATTTCATCGTTTAAAAAAAATAAGTGTGGTTGGGGTTACAGAACATATTCTATCCTAAGTATACTAAAAGAATGCAATTATATTGTAATTGTCATCCTGAATGTAAATGTTAAAGTGAGTATGCCTTATTTTAAATGATATGTAGATATTTGGTTCTTACTGTGTCAGTTTTATTGGTACTGCTATTATTGCTTTTCATTTTTTTTCCATTTTTAGTTTAGATCAATACTTACTAAACAGCATTCATTTGATCGAGTTTTGTTTCATTTGCAGGTTCTGGAGTCCATGTCGCACAGGTTGCTTTTGGATAATACTCACACAGGTTCTAGTGATCAATCTCACCTATGAAATAATAAAACTTAAAATGGAGCCAATGTTATAAACTCCTATCATTTATCTTCGAGATAAAATAAAGAGATATTGGATGATTGCCAAAGAAAAATCTATCCAATAGAGTTTTAGATTCGACCAAACCATGGAAGTATCATGTTGACAATTTTCAATATAATACTTCCATGCTTCGCCTCAGTTGACAATGTTTTCTCGGGGTAACAATCTGCTCTATCACCCTCTCAGCTATGTCATGTATGTGTTATCTATATAGTACCTTATACACTTTTCAAAGACAAATGGTTATACAAAATTGACTACTTAAAAGTTACATTTTAAGTAAATGTACTTACATTACTCCTCATATTTCGTAAATATAAGGTTTTGGACATTTTTGATAAAGATGGCTACTTTTGAGGATCACATAAGAAAAATATATTTATCAAAATATATCTTTTGCACGATGTTAGAGGGTTAACGCCTATTTATTGGTGAATTTTGTATCTACTATGGGTTATTCAGAAACAGGTACTTGTTTAAGTCTTTGGTTCGGACAGGCCACAGCTTCAATCGTAGATAGAAATGTGAAAAAACGAAAAATTGGATTGCAGAAAAAATCATTAATATATTCCAACAACCGTATTTGCTTTTTGATAGAACATACGACACTACGAAGAATTATATCACACTTTAATTGTACTTTTCTACCCTCTTGTAAATCAGTACTGAACGGCTACATGATAAAATTGTAATGTTGTACTTTCGTTTAATTCAGAACTGATGAATTTTGTACTTATATTTGTACAGTGACTTATTTTTTTATATTCAGTACACATTTGTTTAGTATTGTAACAGTACTGATTCTTGCATTACTCTAACAGTAATGATTTTTTCATTACTGTAACAGTACGGAGTTTTTCAGTACTGTTACAGAACTGATTTTTGCAGTACTGTAACAATACTGCTGACGTTTTCAGCACTGTAACAGTACGGATTTTTTTCAGTACTGTAATAGTATGGAGTTGTAAGTATTGTTACAGTACTGATTTTTTGCAGTACTGTAACGGTAATATTTTTTTTCCATAATGTTTCACTCCTGATTTTCTCAGTATCATTTCAGTACGATTTTATGTGGAAGTGTAGGCATTTTGATGTGAATGTTTATTTATTAAAATGTCAAGTATAATGATCACGCAGTTATATACATGTATATGTCTTTGAGACGGTCCATATACGCTGTTTGGAATGTTCACAATACAATACTTTCATGGTGTAATGTTTAGTTTAATCATTTAGTACTACGTGTTATGTGCGTTGTCACAATAAAACTTAATTTTAGATTTTAACGTTTATCACGAGATATTATTATGTATTGGCATCATAGCCTAAGGTCAGAATGCAAACAGATAATTAATGAAAACGACATTTCTGTAAAAAAAATATTAAATTTCACTCATAGATACACACAGAAATGTAACTGACAGTAACAAACAATCGACACAGAGATATGTCTCGCCTGTGTGTAATTTGGTAGTAAGAAACTAATCTGATATTAGAATATAATACTTTAACCAGAAAAAAATGCAAAATATTCCAAATCAATGACTGAAGGCACAGGGCCAAATAATGTCCGTAGGAGGAGGATAATATGCAAAAGCTTTTATAACTGCATACCAACTATTACAATTGATTCCCAATAAACTGTTATTTTCTTTTATTAAAAAAAAAAGCAACTTGCTATGATTTGTGTGTGCTCTCAATAATAATAACTTAATATGATAATGCAATTATTGCAATTAATAACTAGTATAGTATCCGGAAAGGTAGACAAATCTATAGACTATCTTCGCAGTATCTATCAGGTCAATTTATGTTTTTTTTCTAATCTGCGTATCATTGTAGTACATGTAGGTCGTTGATAAATAATATAAACAGTGATTAAAACATGTAAAACAGATATATGCTATTAACATCTAAACAAATATTTAGAAGTTGTACAATATTACTCGAGTTGTTAATGTATGCTAAATTGGATTTGACTAGCCTTTACTTGTATATATTAGTCTGAGTACTTTTATCTATCATATAGAATGTATAAGATGATCCAGGCTCGGTGATCTTTACATGTCTATATTATATTTAAACTTATTTTAAATTGAACCTTTACAATTTCTAACAGGTAACACAATCTGGCAGGGCTCGAGCTTTGAACTCAACAAATAATGAAATATCACCTAAATTTTGAATATTTTGTTTGTATTTATATCATTCAAATGTTCATTTAATCTAGTTACCTAATGTATCATCATAATGATAATTATTGATAATAATGCAAACAAGATCAGTTTCGATAAATAGACTTTTTCATTCAAGCAATAAACGATATTTCTTATTTCACTTCATTTTTTGTCAAAACCAGTATGATGATTAATTTCTTTCCTCTGTTTTTTTTGTGTTCCTCTCTGTTCATGGACTCCTCTTAGATAAGTCACAAAGTACCAGTGGTCAATTAGGAACTTCGAATCAGTATATTATCAGCTTAGAATTTTTTGACGTGACAAAAGCGATACATCTGAAATGGCAACAGTTACGTCGCTACGTCGACAAGTCGTTTGCTGTACTAACCTCACAACTGCAAAAATAAGTTCGATATTTATCGAGCAGAAATTAATCAACTGTGAAAATCAAAAGAGGGACGAAAGATACCAGAAACTCATAGATCGAAAACAAACTGACAATGCCATGGCCAAAAATAAAAAGACAAACAGACAAATAATAGTACAGATGACACAACATAGAAAACTAAAGACTAAGCAACACGACCCCCACCAAAAACTGGGGGTGATCTCAGGTTCTCCGGAAGGGTAAGCAGATCCTGCTCCACATGTGGCACCCGTCGTGTTGCTTATGTTATTTCAAATCCGGTAAATAGTCTAATTCGGTAGGTCACATTCGTGAAAAGGGAAGGGTATTGTAGTTACGATATAAGGAACATATCCGATATCATAAGTGAAACGGTTATTCCATAACGGTCAACCAACTCGTGAAGGCGTCCGTAAAATTTACAAAGGAAAGCGTTCCTAGCCACGCATATGAATCATTAGAACAAAAGTTTTTGGATCTTCAACGCAAATATGTGAATTTAGAACGCAAGTATACAGACATTCAAACATTGAATAATGGTTACACTTTGATAAATAGCCAACTCTGACAGTACAAAACAAAACCTGTGAAACGAGCAACGATGTTATTATCCTTAAACAGCTTGGGAACATAAAACCGTTACAGGAAATTCAGACTTTGCAACAAGCTGTTCAAACAGTTTCTGCTAAACACATTCCTTTTCTGTAAACGAACGTACACGAAGTCAGGATTTTCTAGCCCTTTATAACATGACAATAGATTCGAAACAATTATTAGGCGAATTAAACACGAACACAAGCAACCAGATAAGGAATTTAAAAAAGCATACTGGTAAAAAACGTATGAGACTTGAACAGAATCACAATTCGACAACAGCTAGTACTATCAATAAGTTAGAAGCAATGGAGAAACAGGAGAATTTGACATTGTCCGTGACGCAGAAACAGATAAAAAAGAATGCAAAGAAAGGTGAGAACAAATGAATCCTTATGTTATTCATCTAATGTCCTTAATCCATTTAATACCAAAGGAACACGATAAGAAAATATGTTTTAAGTAATACTGTTATTTCAAATACGTTGAATGTGGTTAATATTGATTAATTGACAGAATAATTCCCAACATCTAGTTAAATATGTTGTGCAACCACATCATTGATAGCTTCCACTTTCCGTTTCGATTTATTCAAGCTTTTTAAGGTATCTTACATTGGAGTATTCTGAAATTGTGGATATTTTGATCGCTCTAGAATTTTACAGAAAAAACGAATTTTGATACAGAACTTTAGCACTTTGTATTTAAATGTTTAAAGGAAAAAAAATGATTTGATCTTATTCTATAGTAACGTTTTATTAAATACATACATATAAAAATTCAATCCTTTCTTTAAATAAATCTTTCCGTTATAATGAAACGAGAGATAAAAATACAACGATTTCATTTTTCATGGAAGCACAATACGAGCAATTGGAAAGGGAAGTAAAGAACTCTGCAAAATGCTTATTGTTTTGTTCATTTTACGCCACACTGTATGGACAATAAAATCATATCTATACTATTAAATGAGAAGACCTCATTTTGTGTGTCGTTTCTCTTCCTTCCACTATAAATTAATCATCATGCCTCTGTGTCCTATAGGTACCATGCATAGTCGCATTTGTCATCCTCGCTTATAATTATTCAGTTTGGGTTATTTTGGGAGGAAAACGAAAATAAAGGCGTCCGGATATTGTTTCCGTCATCGGACGGACTTTTAAGTCATAGACAAGACTTCCGTGCAGGACAATTATTTTTTCATTTTTCTGTATAATAGATCATACATTTACATATACTATAAATAAAGTGTATTTGCTATTTACTATCAATTCCAAGTTTATTATCCACGATATGATATATTATATAGAGAGTGACTGCCGTGGATAGTATTAAACTTGGAATTGATAGTAAATAGAGTCTATATAATCAGAGACATATAATACACATTTAGTATATATGTCTCTGATATAATATATAAGTGACCGCCGTGGATACTAATAATAAACTTGGAATTGATAGTAAATAGCAAATACACGTTAGTTATAGTATATGTAAGTTCATAGTATACAGAAAAACGCGAAAATAATTGAAATTAACAGAAAAAAAAAAAAATAACGGACTTTAGAAAAAAAGGGAAGGACTAAAACAAAATTGTCCTGTCCCCAAGTACCTATGACTTTTGATACCTTTCCTGAAATTCTCCAGTCATAAAATCTTTTACAAAAATTCATCCTACAACAGTTTACATACTTTCTACCACGCTCTAAACGCCCGCGATTTCGCGGGTGTGCTCTAGTAATATATATTTAAGAAGACTAAAAAAACTGTCTACTTTGTAAATTTCAAAATGCATTGACTT